CCATTGTGTAGCTTTGTGCTTTACTTCAAACAACAACAAATTAGGTTTTATAATATATGACTCTGGAGAAACACTCAATTAAAAAAAATTCTCAAACTTATCGCGATATATTAATGTGGTTAAACTTTCTTTGAAATAGACAAAAACATAAATATGAGACAAGTTGAACCACGTTTTCCTGAAATACAACCAAAACTGGGACTGAAATGAATTTAACCCGACAGAATAATAAAGTGAAGCGGATTTACATGTTTAAAGTGATAAGTATTTATCATAAAACTTATAAATGTCCGATAATGGATAAATGATTGCCTTTTTTATCCATTACAGTTTCTATGATAATTAGAATCCTCAAAACTGAATATCCCTTTATTATCTTTGGTTAAATATATATATTCAGGCGAGAAAGAGAACATTGTGCAAATTTTGCTCACTTACCTGAAAATTACTTATTTCACAAAGGAAGAAAAACGGAATGACAGGTGTTCCATTCAGGGAGACACTCCACAATCACGCTATAGTTAAGCCTAAAATTTAGTAACATTCAGAAATCCTTAGCGAGTTGTTAATTGTAGTTTAAGATTCATAACGTACGTAAATTAACATTTTAAAATGTAGTATTTGAAGTAGAAATATTCCTTTATTTTTTATTACTCTATATAATACTTATAATTGTATTTTCCCCTATGTTTATTATATAGAAACAATCGATTTATATTCTATATTCATTATAACTCTATGCGTTTAATAACTTAAATACCAGATGTCAGTGATTCTTACGATTGTTGCCTATATACCTAATTTAAAGAAGTATTCCACAGTTAAAGAATTTCTAGCGCTCAGTGCATTGTTATCCAATGAAGGCTCCGGAAAGAGGGCTGAAAGCTCGCAAATAAATGTAATTTAACGTAGAAAAAAGTACGTGTATAATTAATTTTACATATTCAGAATTTCCGTGAAAACAAGCCGACTATACAGATATGAAGTAAAAGGTAAGTTATAAATTAATGAAACCTATACCCAGTGCAACAGACTGAGTAGATATGTTTGCTGTGATAAATCAGTAATAAAATTAAATAGATAATTATTAGAATGCATTGAAAAATTAGGTGGAATTTTTTTAACAATACTTATGGCCATAATCCCAGTCATATTTCATGAGGCTTAGCTAACATAGGAGATTTGGAGAAGTCCTAAAAACTCCGTATAATAACAATGCATGATAATATATATATTATTAAGTATTAAAATGATCTTCAAAGTTATAACCAATAGAATTAACTAGTAAATTAACATAGGTTATGTTTTCACCTCTGTGTGAGTGTGTTTGTCAGCAAGATTTGGACGAAAGTTGTTATACATTTGGACTAGGAACAAATGTAATGTGATTAGTTTTTGGAGGTCAAGTTCGCGAAAATCCAAAAAAATCCCTCTCTGTTAACATGGGGACAGATTTTTCACACTATTTTTGCTCTATAACTCAGTCAAAAATGATCGGATTTAGATGAAAGTTGGTGGACCTATGTAAACTATTATTCCTATTATTGTTCTGCCAAAAATGATCCGCGTTCGTTGATAACGATGGACATACAGACGCATTTTTTTTAGGAACCGAATATGATAAAACCATTATTATACTCCTTTCTGTGTCTAATATCCATTCTTTGTAATGAATGATTTTTTTTCAATGGAGTCCTGTTAAGTGTTTAACCCTAGAAAGAGAACCTTGAAATTTATAGGTATAATAATATCGCGAATACACCTACTAGCGCGACTAATTTTTAATTATTTGTTATAGTCGTTATTACTGTGATTTGCTTATGAATGAAAATTCAAGGTCATGTTAGATTCTGTTATAATTTACTGCGTTCCGAAAGCATGAAACATAATTCTGCAGCAACGAGGAGAACCATGAACCACTAGGCCAGACATTCCCAACAAGGGGTACATAGGAGTCTGAGAATATAACCATGGTTTACACTTCACATGGTGTTTTATTCTACAGTCAAAGTGGCTCACATAAATATACGCTCTTTAGACAAAAAGTTGTGATCATGGTGAACGTTGTGATATTATTGCTGTGCTACATTATAACTCATGTTTTCAATAAGTGATGTAGAACATAAGCAATATGGAACACCCTCGTTACAAATCAGCTGATAAACTAGGGGTCAGCCAACTGGGCAAGCATTCCTCCCTCCATTAGTGCTTTGGGAGAGAATGCCCAATGGTACAGATGAAAAAAAAAGGTTGGGAATCCCTGCACTAAGCCGAGCACGATCCTATATATATAAAAGAAGACTACTATAGATATTTCTGAATAAAGGCCCGTGACCCGATCCTATCTAACAGTGCTAAGAATCTCCAGTCGGTTCCTTGAAAAATCAAAATAGAAAACCATGATCGGTATCATACTGAAACGCAGATAATTTCCGCGCCTATGAGCCCTATCCCCGAATTTTTGAAGTACCTAGCGACACCTTTGTTTCTGCATTAAAATCGTTAATTTTATCTATGCATTGAATGGAATTAATAATAATTATAAATGTTTATTTAAATGCCTTTTAATATATTTAAGACTTTTATCGATTAGAATTGATAAATTCTTAATCACAGGGTTTTTAATACAAGAAAGTAACCTGTACTTGAATAGGAGTACATTTCTCTGTACGGACACCAAAATTTGATTTTGTTTGAAGTTAAACACGATAAACTATCTGTGCTGTTCCCACCACGGTTATCGAAACCTGATTTCTATTGTTATGTTATAAGTCCACAGACTTTCCGCTGTGCCACTAAGGGCACCACAATTTGATATGTTTTTGTATAATAATTTATTGGTTTATATGCTTCATCATATGAAGGTGTTAATGTTTGTAGATTAAGTCCAAGTTATTCTAGTTTTTTTGTTTTTTTTTGACAATTTTTCAACAAATACATCATCATCCCCAGTAACATTCGGTATATAAAATACAAAAAAAAAATATACCTCAAATGTTCTATATTTTTTTAATTACCTCATACAATCGCAAAATTGTTTCAGCGCTAAACTGCACAGATAACTATTTATCTCATGGAATCGGCTCCAGGGTTTTAGCATTTGCAAGTCCTTCCAATAAATACTGATCCTAGTTATTTAAAACTTTTTTAAACTCTATTACATTTTTTCAAAATCATGGGTCTTTTGTAAAATATCTCTCTTCCATGCTTCTTATCCTCAATCCTTTTAAATTTTCTCTGTGTAAATTCGTTTTTCTGTCTTTGTATCTTATGATGACTTTGAACATACTTACCTTCTATAGCAGCACCTCTTAGGTCCAATTTAGTGTTGTTATTGTATGTGTCAGTTTGTTTGTTTTCCATTTAATGAAGTGTAACAAGAAATACTTTTACCTTTCTTCTTATAAAACTCTTGAGAATGTTTCCATTCAGTTTTAATAGTTATTCGAAATTTTCTTCCTCTTTTTGGATCTTCTATATCCTTCTTTCAATTCTTTTATAAACATTACTTCTATGTTGTTTCCTTTTTTTTTCACTTCTTTCTTTTACTCTACATGAGTCTTTTCAATAATCTACCAATGCTTCAAAAACTTTTCCACATTCTGCCTTCTTGTTATATAAATTCCACGTTTTCGAGAAGGTTACCATTAATTTTATCTTTTGATTTTTCACACTAGCATTAGAAGCTTCTAATTCAATCTTCCACTTACTTTGATCTTATTTTAATTTTTTTATTTTTTATTTAAAACAGCCTCATTAATTGTTTCACGAAATTTAAAAGGTATTAATGGGGTGATCCTCTTGAATTGTATTGTTCCATAATTTACTTAATTTTTCTGCTCTTAAGCTTTTCCAAAAAGCAAACTTTCTATTAGCGAATCTCTCATTCATAAATCATGCAATATACTGTCAAAATGTTTTTCCTTTTCACTTGCTCTTATCTGGGGAACCTAATTCCTTTCCAAGAATCTGTTTCCTGCCTAAATATCTTCCAGTAAAATATTTCGTATTTGTTGTTGATAATAACTTTCAGGCGTGGATACCACTAATTCTTCTTAAATCTGTATCCATTTATCCTAAGTTCTACTTAATTCTTCTAAGAAATTCTCAAATATTTTTTCCACGTCATAACTGAATCCCTTGAATCAATTTCTTCTTTACACTTTCCAAGTATTTTAAGTTGTGAAAAAAAGAATTGTGCTTTATGTAATTTGGGTTTTATTAAAACTACAAAAAACGACATGTAGAAATAAGATATTTTGTTTTTTCATTGATAATTTCTTTCATTGTAATTCATGATATTTAATATATTTTCCAGAACGTGTAAATTGTTGTGGCACTTGAAATAAACAGATGTAATAGTAATTAAGTTTAACTCGGAAAGGTGACAAAAAGATGAATGAAATATAATCTTCATTTCCACGAAGTAGAATTACTTTATTTTCCTGCCTTCAGAAAACAGGATGACAATGTCACCAAATAAAACATTAACAAAAAAAAAGTGTACAGCATTTAACTGTACAGAATATCTATCAGTATGTATACTTCTAGAAATTGGATTTCCTTAGGAAGACGTCACCCATCATCATACTAATGGCAAACGGCAAAGAATATCAGATGATTGGTGTGACTTTCATCTCACTTGAAAGCAAAACAGTTACAACACGCCACTTTTACGAACAACTTTGAATCTTATTATCTTAACATTTACCAGCATACTGAGTGAAAAACATCCATCACTAATTCCTTCTTAACCACAAAAATATGTTAACATAATGATTACGAAAAACCTACTTACATCTTTCATCACTGAGACAACTAAATGCTTCCAGTAAAAAATGCAACAAAAACCAATATGAAATAGGAAAACTATTTGTTTTATCTTAATGATACAATTTCTTTTAGCTGGAAATTATAATTACTTCTTTAGGATCACAAACTTTATCTACAGTATACAGATATAAATTCTAAAATAGTAATATACTTACTGGGCAAAAAAAAAAGTCAAGAGCCAATTTAAAGGACGACATGTAACATAACTACTAAATGCTAAAATGAATTGCAATATGGTCACAAAGAAGCAAAATAAGCATTTAAATTGTGCGTGTAACCCTCAAAGTTGATAATGCTTTTATACATGCTAAAGTGTCTGAGTGAAAGACATCTAAGTTTCAGTTAGTAATATATTACAGCTGTACATATATACAGTTAGTAATATATTACAGCCGTACATATATACTACAATAAAAGTAGCTTTTATTCAGCATTTTAGATTAATTTCATGCTGACAAGTTCAAAACCAGATTATGAGGAAGGTATTTCTTTAGTGTTATCTACCATCTCAATGTAGTGTTTGAACATCTTGCAGGTTTTCGGCTTGTTAACTTCTCTCCCCAGGATGTTCGTTCTTTTCTCTTAAAACTAAAATTCACAAATATTGAACAAAGATATTAATCAATTCTGGATGTGGTATGGCACACAAACATAACATTATTGGTTTATGAAAGCTTGTACACAGAAACCAAATTCAAGATCATTCTTTTAGAATCATCAATAAACTTAACACAATTTTGAAGCCTGATGATGGCCTTTAGAAATAGCTAACCTATTTCAACATGAAAAGCATGTCTGGTGTTTTGCTGTTTCTTACAAAAGGATCCTTAGAAAACAAAAAACAGTTTATTTACCAGACAAAAAAAAGAGAGCTCTCACTATGGTTTTAGAGAATTTTCTAATAAAACCATGACATACTCAACTTTATATATTAATTAGAAACACCGGTACTTTGTCTTTTTTTTCTGCACGAACTCTTATCGAGTTGCATCTTTTCATCTAATGTTATTGATTAGTTTCCTGTTATATTTTTCCCTATATGATTCACATTCTGACATCAAATATTTTTGAAAAAAGAAATTCAAGAAGTTAGAAAAAAGCCAGGGAGTGCACAACTTGGGTGCTGATTGTTAGGTTCAGTTCTGTTAATTTATAGCACTTACTTGTGAAACACTTTTGTTTTCAAGTTCACTCCGACATTCTAATGAAGAACTGCTAATTGAAAAAACAGGAGCAAACAGAAACACAAAAGTCCAGGAAACCATAATCTGTTCACTGCTTATAAAGGATATTTCACAAAAGTTTAAACTCTTCAAATATATTTAATATTAAACATTACTTTCCCTATCAAAAACCTAAACATGTTTAAATCTGCAAAGTACTACTGTAATAACTTTACCTTCATTGGAAACGACAACAAATAAAGTCACTATACCTTATCTGAACAGAAAAAAAGCTATTCAGTGTTTAGCTATAATGTTCTTAATCTCAAGAACAGAAGGAAAAGTTAACGCTATCTTCTTGTCAGTAATAACATCACCCAATTAAAAATTCCTTCATCATACAAATAAATTGTAAGAAAGACAATTTTTTATAACTAATGTGCAGGATAACTTAAATTAATAAAAAGATTGAAACCAAACAGGCAATATTGAGTTTAATGTAGTATTATCCATAAACTTGTGTGACAAATGTAAACTGAAATTCTTTAAGTTTCTTTTCTAAAAAAAAAAAAAGCACACATTGATGTTTGTTAGCTTACTAAAATGTTGTTGTGTATTTTTGGATGTAATATAAATCACAAAATTACTGAAATATTAACTTAAAATTCTATTAATCATACAAGTTTCTTCTTTGTATAAATATTAATTTAAATATTACATTGCAGTCAAAGATAAAAATATTAATATCAGGCTTCAAACATAAAGTACTCAAAAACTTGTTCTACATGCATTGAAACACTACCTTATTTTCAATGTCACCAATGTACTACCTTTCAGGTTACAGATTTAAGTGAAATAATGCCTTAAAATAAATCTTTATTATCATTATTTAACAGGATAACTACATATTTTTTAAGCATAAATAATGATCTTTTTTTTTAAAAAAAAACTATGTGAAAGCCTGGTGGATAATAAAAAGAAAGCTTCATAGTGCATATTTCTTAAAACACTGACTAGATCAGTCAATGATACAGTACGTGGCCTGAACTTTTTGTTTTACATAAATGCTTTTGTTGTGTGTAATAAACAATAAAAACCTATTTCTTCTCAGCAACATTTAAATCTGCTTATCTATCTGAAAATAGTGTCTTCCTTTTACATTGGCTCAAAAAAAAAAAAAGAGAAGGAGGAAAGCAAATTTTGCTAAAAGCACTGCCAAAAGGTTATTGTTTACATTTCCGAGGAACCAATGTTTGGGGTGTAAATGGAAGCATTAGGGTCAAGTGAAGACTTGGTGCCTTTATCCTCTGACATGAACTTGGGAGAGTACAGCATGGAGGAGGACACCATATCTGATTCCAGACTAACTGCTGCATAGGTCGAAGACGGCGGCATAACAGCCATCACCTCAGCCACCTTGGACTTTAGCTCATCTATCTCTTTCTCCTTCTGGGTAAGCAATGCTGAAATTGTTAATAATATATCCAGAGATAAGCCATTAAACATCTTCCATCAATCATAATTCTAACACTGTGTTTTGCAAGTACTGACTTTTTCCTTCAATTTCATTAATATTAATGATCGTTAATATTTAAAATAATTTCAAATGATTTTCACATTTATGAAGGTTATTTGACACTGTTATCATAATGCATGGGTTTATGTAAAACTAAAATCTCCTAAGCTGGTCAAACAGTATGACATTTACAGGGACCAAAAGTGATTTTTGGTTTTAGTTTTTCTTTTGACTTATGCTGCTTCTATAAAATTGTTTAATTATGTAAGAAGTTAGTTTTTTTAGTTCCGATCTATATAGATAGCTTAATTTTGATCTTAAAATTTTATATGATTTTAATATAATACTTCAAACACACACACAAAAATTATTTTTCAAAAGTGGTATCTTTGTCACCAGTAAATCAATCATAATTTAATAAAATTGCTGTGCTAAGGTCAACTTGCAACTCATAATGCATGAAGTTCAAATATCAACTTCTTTGGAGTCTTTACAAAGTGTATTCCTATTTTGGCACTTTTATTTTTGCAATTTTACTTTATAAGACACTAAAAATTAATTTGTGTAATTTCTTGATATAAAATAAAGGCAAAACAAAACATTCCTCCATTAGGTTATTCTTGTCTGCTTACTTTTCAAACACCCCCTGAATGGGTTACAATTATTGGATGTTTACTATAAATATTGTTCTCTTATTACACCTAATAATAATTGAAGTGTTAGAAATAGTGCAAGAGGAAGGAGGTTTGTTGAAAAAATAAGGAAACAAAGAAGAAAGAAGTCATAGAAGAAAAAATGTGCAGTGATTTAAAAAGGAAGGCAGAAGAAGACAGTGACTGACAATTACATACTGATTCACATTTTATGGCTTGAGTCCCAAACCTGGCAGAATACTAATGAATGATAACTAGATTACATTGTCCAAAGATAATAAAAAACCAAACATTAATTTTGATGCCTATCAACTTTACTAATTCTGGTCAAGTCCTACAACTAGAACCTCATTGCAATAAGTATACACTCAATTGGAAAAGAAACATTTTATGCAAGAGTAAATCATGTTTGTTTTTTCATACAGAATTATTTCATTACCTAAAAATATAAAAAAATACGTCTAAAACAAACAAATTTCATCTTCTACATTCCTCTTTATGTTATAAAAATTCTTAAAACATGATCCCTTCTATAACATCACATAGTTAATCATGTATATGTAGCACCTGTACTTCTAGTTATTTTCTTTCAATATAACATTACATGTAATTATTGGTAAAATGAAGGAATAGTCAATGTTGGTTACCAAAACATATTAACATTTACCACTATGGAGCCAATGAAACTATCAACCAATATATTCAATCATGGTTAACTTACACTGAGTGATCTCCACCTGACGTTTTGCGTCTCCCAATGCACAAAAGAGATCTAGCTTTACACGGGTCTCTGCACTCAGGCTGTTCTCAAGGTGTGTATTCTTGTCCTGCATCGCGGACAGAGCTGACATTAAAACTTCAGTATCATTTTGATTGTCTTTGTACTGTCGTAGAGACTGTGAAAAAGAGATTTGGTAAGCTAGTTTTACATAATAAAACTATATTTAATTTACCATGTTTTCAGTAAATACTTCTCCACATGTTCTTGCTAAGAGCCTCACAAATTATAAGCATAAAGGCTAAAATGTGAGGTTTCTATGACATATCTAATATAATGTATCATCAACAGCTAGAATGATATCAATCTATCTATAATAAAAAAAAATATGAAAAGCTTTAATATGCATGAAATAAGTACACAATTACTGCATAAGTGTGATTTCACGCTTCTGTTATGATTTGTAGCATTTAGATCATACAGTGCCTGGCTACTTTATTAGGACCTCTGCTTAGTACCAAATCACCTTTTAGCACTATAAAAGCTTAGACTTAGCACAGCATAGACTTCATAAGATTTCTGAATGAGTTTCGTTCAACTAATCTCATTTATCAAGGAATGTAGTATGCAAATAGAGCAAAGGTGTTCACAGAGGAGCTGCCAAATATGATATTCACCTAAAGATGGTGAAATGGGTTAGTATTCAATGATTGAGCTTTCTAAGAAGGACGACTGAATCCACTGTCATGTTTGTCAAACTAAGTTCGGACTATAGTAGCATAGTGAATTTCTGAATTTTATCATCTTGGAAAATCCTTTATCCATCTCCATCAGGGTGAAAATGCAGCACTGAGAAGTGATCAGTATCAGCTGTCAAGTATGCTGCAAAGTTTCTTAACCCTTCTATACAAATTAAGTACTTAACCATCTACAGTAACATTTCCCATACCAATGCACTCCTACAGATGTATGTACTGTCTGAGTCAATCAAATAGCATCTTGGGCCTTGTGAGGGTTTCTCCATATTTCAACTGTATAAGATATGTGATTGATACTAGTAGTTGGTGGCTGCATTATGTAATGCCCTTCATACATTTCAATAGGTAATAATTAATTCCTGCCTACTTTTGAAGATGTCATTCAACTGGAACAGTTTTATGTTTCCTTCACTTTACAAATCTATTAAATCATCTCTTCCCTCTGTCTGTCACCCGTGATTTACACTCAGTTTTTGTTAGTGGTACAGGTATACACTTTCAACTGTCAATGTTGATAGACTGACAACAGATGTCTTTAAACAATCAGTTATAGAAAAGATCTTTGATGATACCACTCCTTCTACAAGGTTAACCACAAGTAGACTGATGACAGATGTCTTTAAACAATCAGTTACAGAAAAGATCTTTGATGATACCACTCCTTCTAGAAGGCTAACCACAAGTTTCATTAAGAAAATGCAATGCTTATTACATTTGTAAAAAGGATCCAAAATGTTTATCAAAAGTTTTTCAGGGGTACAGAAATGCTTAACTCCGAAATCTGTCCCATAAATGCTCATTTATAGACTTGGCATTCTGTTTTCTTCACATGTAAGGGTGAAAAAATTCCATCTATCCCTTCGGTTTTGTGTAATTTATACTAATGAAGGGACATCCAACAAATCCTGAAGGATGACTAAATAACACTTATTCACACTAGTTGTCTATATTTCTGGCTTAACAACAGATGTTGTCAAGACAAACTCACACATTTCCTTCTAATTTTGTGATTGTTGAGAACAGGGATTCTTGAATAAAGTACAACTCACATCATGTATTGTAAACTACCAAGAATATGATGAACCATGATGTTAATAAAGATAACCTTTGGCCTCTGCTGAAATAGAACAGCTAAACCACACTTGATGCTAGGTGACAATGGGAAAAAAAATGTGTAGTGTACGATGTTGAAATAATGTTAGCTGTAACAAACAATGAGACAAGATGGCATACTGTAACATTAAAACAAATGACATAGAGACTTGGCCAGATAAATCTTTATTTGTGTTAAGGATAAAACTGGTCACTCCCTCCCCTCAACAAATAAAATCTTTTGAAGCAATTTGTAAAAAGTTTGCAACTCTCCATTTTTCTATTTATAGAAATCCATTGTACCCACTATCATACTTAAATTAGATCCTTACTCTTGTATACTATCTTGAAAACTAGTCTTAAATCTACATATCTGCATTTATAGGGTGGGCACATTCTAAAATGTTTTTTACTGACTTTCCAAATTTTCCAGACCTGCACACAAGCATATAAGACATACCAATATTCCAACTTTTCCTTATAGTTCTATACAATTAACACCTTTTCAGCTTGTAATCTAGTTATAAAGAGCAATAAAAAATTCAGAACATATTTATTTCAGACTATGATATTACTTTGTTTGAAGATCTTTCACAGTGCAACTTGATGGTGGACATTAAAATGTTTCATTTCTATTTATATAAGAATAATTGATCTAACCAATAATCAAATACAATAAATCACCTCATAAATTGGAGTAAGTGATGAAATATACCAATAATTAGCATAGGTAAAAAACATGGTTTGAGTACATGCAGGTTTTGAGTTTAAAAAAAGAAGAGGAAAGAGACCAATTTTCCCAGATTCATACGACTCAAGCAATCACCTGATAAATAATGTGATAAGACTTGCATACACATAGAATATTACAAATTCCAGAAACAGATGTGACTGCTTATCATAAATATTATATTCATCTCTAACAGTTTCGAGCTTGGTGTAAGCTTGAAATTTAGTGGAATTTCATCATTAGCAACAGATTCATTCAGTGGTAATTGAAGTTTAATGATGAACAATGGCAACAAAATAAACATTTGATGAACATGTGTGTATGGTAACAAACACACATTGGAGTGTACTCACCAAGCAAATATGTACAATCGAAAATGTTCAAAAATTTAATGTTTGTTACTGTACACATGCATCAAATGCTTATTGTTGCTGCTGCTATTCTATTCTTAATCAAAGCTTACAAGTTGTCCAAGTATTGTACTTATTAAATTTTTGTAAATTGAAATTAGCAATAGAATAGTATTTGGATAGTGGTTTGTAGTTTTACTTTATATTTAATCCAAATTTGATTATGAAAAAAAAGCATTTCCAAACTAAAATTCTGAATTTTTACATTTTAATAGATAAATAACCCTTCAAAGGCTAGATAAAAAGCAAGTGATTCAGCTTTTACTTTGCTATTACACTCAGATGAATCTTATATAACAACTTTAATTTACTCCATACTGTGATATAAAATTTAATAGATACACATATTTAATCTGTTGCTCATATTTTCTGAGCCAAGTATTCTAATATTTCTAACTACAAACTTACAGCTAATTCGAGTTTCTACCCACTATTTCATATATTCTTAAAGGTGTGACCAACAAGTTTAATATTCCATGAAGAAAACATTATGTACTATAACTGTCTTTCTGAAATTTAGTACACCATTAAAACAAACTTTTAAAAAATAATTTTAAATGTTTCATGTAGAAAATAAAGTGTGATCAAATCATTGCCAAATATTTAAATCCAGTTTGAGTTCCACCATATTATACATTTGGTTAGAAAGTAAAAACTTACTTGTGCCTCTCTTTCTATTTGTCGCAACTGGTCTTCTCTGACTTTCACTTCACGGCGTAGTTGTTTAATATCATTTTCTAAATCCCTTCGTCGATTTTTACAGTTTTCTGTACAGTCAGCTCTACTGTAGATAGAAAACATTTACATTAATCATTGAAATACCAGTAAAATGTAAGTTCTACTGTAGATATAAATAATTTACACCAATTATTGAAATACCAGTAAAATGTCAGTTCTACTATAGATAGAAATTATATTAATCATTGAAATACCAGTAAAATGCAAGTTTTACTGTAGATAGAAATCATTTACACTAATTATTGTAATACCAGTAAAATGTCAGTTCTACTGTAGATAGAAAACATTTACATTAACCATTGAAATACCAGTAAAATGTAAGTTCTACTGCAGATAGAAATCATTTACACTAATTATTGAAATACTATTAAAGTGTCAGTTCTACTATAGATAAAAATTATATTAATAACTGAAATACCAGTAAAATGTAAGTTCTACTGTAGATAGAAAACATTTACATTAATCATTGAAATACCAGTAAAATGTCAGTTCTACT